ATAATAGGGTGCTTGAGAGAATACAGGAGAAACATAAAGCCTTTTGAGGGAATAGTCAAGCCAAATATCGCAAACTGAAGGAATCTTGGAGATTAATGTATTTGTTCATTCATTCATTCATCAGTTACCTGATGCATGCCTATGACCCAGAAACTGCTGGGTATGCAGTTTCTTCTCATCAAGATCACCTTCCGCAGCACATGGTTAATAATAAACAGATGGTTAAGTAGCATAGTTATAGATGGTGATAAAAGCTCCACACTTATCAGATGAAGACTGGGAGGTATCAGCCTCCATGAAGAAGTAACAGTTGAGCTGAACCCTAAACCATGAGAAAGAGTTAGCCATGAGAAAAGGAGGAAGCAGCACCTAGACGGAAAGGCAATGTGATTCAGTTGGTGGGCGGACAGCACAGGAAACTCCAGTGAGAAACCAGAGCAGACAGAGGGTTCCGAGAACACAGAAACCAACTTAGTCAGAGTTGGCCCTAGCGGGGCTCTGATTATACCTTCTCTATTCTCCAGTCCTCCACCCCTCACATACCACTAATGCCCTTGACAGCTGTCCTATTCAGCCTTGTCTTTAAGCAAGTTGTTATCTACCGCATCAAATACCTCCAAGTGCCCACATGAGCCATAAGAAGACCTAGAACACCTGCTTCTGGGGTATTTTGGACCTCTTGCTCCAAATCCATAGAGCCTCTGCAATTAATGAGATTATCTAGGAGTTCTTGCACCTGTTGTTTTTATGTAATTCTGTCTGTGCTCACTCGAATAACTACTAATTATGTTCTGGCATAATAAATAAAAACTTGCTGTATGGTTTTAGAAAACAAAGAAAGTGCTTGATATTTAAAAAGTGCTTTTTATTAGAAAAATCTCTATACTAAATTGTCAAATTTTCATATCTTTTTGTTATATAGAGAGCTATCTATACAGCCCTGCTCCAGTTGACAAGTATATATACATGTATGTATACATATATGTATTTATATGAGCCTGAAAAGAAGAAAACAAATTTTATTGTCTTCTTTCTAATATTACTGATGAGTAACTGCATCCTATCAATAGTTTGGAAACTATTGTTCACTTGATTTCACTTTATTTTCATAATAATCATGGGAGGTTAATAGTATTATTTTCCTTCTTTACCAGAAAAGGAAATCAGTTTCCTTTTATGACAATGGTGAAGCAACATAAAATATTACATAGAATAGATTAAGGATAAAATGTGCACGTTAAGAGTTAAATATTCATCTCTGTTCTAAGCGAGTAACACCAACATTTGCATCTCAATTTGTATGAATTGGGTATTTTGAATAGCTATGTAATTTCCTACCATTATTAATAGAAAAGCTGTTGTGCATGCTTTCTTTTAAAATAAACATGCATTGACCAAAATTCGTTATCGAATACAAAATCAAAATCAACATTTCAATTTTTATACTTAGATATGATTTCATTTTCTTTACCTTATTGTTTTGAAGGCCTCTCTACAGGAAGCCAGAGTCTTATGAATTCTAGGATGAGATAGATTTCTGAGACATTAACCACATTAGATGGAATTATTTTCATTAATCCTTTGTATAGCAACTGAAAATAGACCTGGAAATAAGTGTTGAAAACATAAAGCTTAGACATGAGAAGCATTCAGTAGGAGGAGAGTCCTGGCATAGTTGTGTTTTCCCAGGGCACTGTCTTAATTTAATCTTACTGCCACAAATGGAGTGGCTCTTTGAAATATTAGGATTTGTCAAGTGACTTTTCTCAGTAATGGTGTTGCCTCTGCCCGTCTGTCAAACTCTTTTCAACATATGTTTAAAGGGCAAGTTAGAACACAAATGCAGAACTGAAAAGCATTCTGATATATCTACACTGTATTTTGGATGTTGTTTTACTTGCTCTAGTTCAGTCTCTTCAGTTCTTGATGATAACATACTTGGCCCATTCTAGCTGCCTACAAAACACATCAATCAGGAAAATAAACTGTTTATAGAATCACACACATGTGATTTCTAACCATCCCAGTTATTCCTGTCCTTCAAAATCCTGGCCACTGCCACATTGCTACTTGATTGTATAAAATTTTTTGACAGGTTGTATGTCAAGTGCTTTATATGTAACATCCATCAAACCTTTACAATTACCCAGTGAACCTGCTACCTTAATTAGCCCCCCCTTTTTTTTTTAAACAGATAAGGAAACAGAGGTGTACAGATGTTAACTATCTTACCGAAGGCCATGCAGTCAGGATGGAATGGGGCAGGATTCGAACCCAGGCAGTTTCACCCCAGGGCCTGAGTGTTTAGTCACTGATAAATGGAATGTTGCTTGCGGATTACGTGCAGAGCATCATGCTGGGCATGTATCTCATATTCTACTGAGGAAGTAAGTTACGAGTCTAGGAGGAGGAGGCAGGATGCAAAGTCCAAAACCCTTTGCCTACTCCTCATGGCCCTTTATTTTGGGATTCAACTTATTTTTCTTACCTAATTGCCTACCACCTACCATTTTTCTACTTGAACTCTGGACTCATTGTGAGGTGTCTAGAGAAACCCTCACCTTCCCAGCTCCATGCCTTTGTTTACTTGATGATAACATGTTCTTCTCCATCCCCCACACAAATCCGTTTTTCTTTAGGTGCATCCTAACCAGTCTCCGTGGAGCTCTTCTTTCACTTGAACTCATAACATTCCTTCCCTCCTTTTTCGGTAACCATATATGCTAGGTATTATTTCATGTGCTTCATATCTATCCCTGATGCAAGCCTCAAGGTTACCTAGAAGAGTATACTAGGAAGAAAGAACGGAAAATGCAGAGGCCTTAAGGCCAGAGTATACTAAGCATGTACCAAACCACAGGGAGGCCAGCAGCATCTAGGAGATATTTTTTAGCTCCCACAGGGCAAAAATGAGCTATGTGGGTACTCAAGGCCAGCAATCTATTTCTCCAAGCTGTCTTTGATGACTGTGGCTTGCCTAGTGGAGTGGCTGTCTTATCTCTTTTATAAGGGCATTAATCCCATTCAAATGGCAGAGCCTTCAGTCACTTTCCAAAGGCCCTACATCCTAATGCTATTACCTTGGGGGTTAGGATTAAAACATATAAATTTTGGGAGGACACAGACATTCAGACAATAGCAGTGGTTCTTTGGAAGCCTATCACTCTAGTTTTTCAGTATTATATGTAACAAAAACTGGGCGCAGCTATCATCTAGTAACAAAGCGTTGAAGTACATAAAACAGTATTTTCAGAACTAAAAGGAGAAATAGACAAATCCATAATAATAAGGGGAGATTTTGGTGCTCCTTTTTCAGTAAAGAATATAAATAGAATGAACAGACCAAAAAATAGTTAAAAACATAAGGGTTTGAAGAACATGATTAACAAACTTGATCTAATTGATACATACGTGTTGAAAACTAACACCCAACAAGAGCAGACTAGAATTTTTTTTCAAGTACATGTTCTATAGAATTTTATTAAAAAATTTGACCATATGCTTGACCATGAAGGAAGCCTTAACAAATATCAAGAAACTGAAATAATATGGAATATGTTTTCTGACCACATGTAATGAAACCAGCAATAAATAATAAAAATGCCATACTAAAACCTCACATTTTTAGAAATTAATAATGCACTACTAAATGATTCAATAGGTCAAATCAAAATCACAATAGGAATCAGAAGACATTTTAAATTTCATATATTAAAAATGTAACATATCAAAATGTGTGGGCTGAATTTGAGTCAGTGATTCAAGGGAAATTTATAGGCTTAAATAAAGCTATTAGGGAAGTAGAAAAAATGGAAATGAATCATCTAAGTATCCATTTCAAGAAGTTTGAAAAAGAAAAGCAAATTTTAACTCAAAGAAAGTAGATTACGTAAATTATAAACAACAAACTAGAAACCAATGGAAAAAACACAAATAAACGTATAATGAGGTTTAACAAATCCAAACATTGTATCTTTTTTTTTTTAAGCCTTAAATTGACAAACATCGGACCAGTCTGATCAAGAAGAGAGAGTGAGAATGTGCAAATAAATAATTTCAAGAATGAAAGCTCGTTTGAAAAAATCCTAAGAAGTCTATGTGACTTTTATGTCAATAATTTTGAAAATTTAGGTAAAATAGACAAATTCATAGAGAATCTCAATGTACCAAAATGAGAGTGTCAGAAATAGAAGGATTTGAATAGTTCTGTATCTATGAAAGAAATTGAGTCCATAACTAAAAATTTTCCCATCCTAGATGCTTCCCTAGTGAAGTTTACCAAATATTTAAAGAAGTAATCACATCAAATTTACAAAAACTTTTCCAGAAAATTGAAAAGGAAGTACTTCCCAAATAATTTTGTAAGACCAACATATCCTTGATTCTCAAACCTGACAAGAACATACAAGAAAAAAATAACAAGCCACTGTCATTTGTGAACATATAAGCAAAAATTCTAAAATAAATAAATAAATAAATAAATAAAAGAATCAAACCCAGTGTTACATGAAAAGAATAATACATCATGACCAAAGTGGGTTTATTTCAGATATGTAAGATTGTTTTTAAATTAAATAATCAATGTAATTTACTGCAGTAATAGAATTTTAAAATCATATGACCATCTTAATAGATGCAGTAAAAATTTTTTATAAAACCCAGGATTCATTTATTTAAAAAAAACTCTTGCCTTCACAAAGATATCTGGATAAACCCCATTAAAAACATCATACTTAAGAGTTTTTCCTCTAAAATCAGTAACAAGGCAAAGATGGTTGCTTCTTTTCCACATTGTTTTGTAGGTTCTAGCTAGTGCAGCAAAGTAAGAAAAAGAAAAGAAGAAACCTTATTGGAGGACTGGCAAGTAAGAAATAAATCTGTCATTATTCACATACAATTATACACATAGAAAAATCCAAAAGACCTACAGAAAAACTATTACAATTAAAAGAGGAATAAACCAAGGCCACTGAATACATAGTCAATAAACAGTCCTGTACTTAGTTTCCATATGTAATTAAGTTTTTATATGCTAGTAACAAGCAATTAGAAAACAAAAATTTTAACAAAATATCATTTATCAACAGCATAGAAAAGTCACATGTCAAAGAATCAATCTAAAAAATGTGCAAGACCTCTACACAGAAAACTACAAAACATTATTGGGAGAAATTAAAGAGAATCTAACTAAATGGAGGGATGTATCATATTGTTACTTCTGTCACATTCTGATAGTTAGAGAAAGTCACAAAGTTAACCCAGATTCAGTGCTGGAGGGGACTATGCAAGGACATGAATTCCATGAGGTGTGGTTCACTGAGAGCCATCTTTGGAGATTAGCTACAGAGTTCATGTTCTGGCCTTTTATGTTTTACATTCTTCACCGGTGAAATACACTTACACTTATCTCCCTTTAGACTCCCAAAGCCTCATCCCATTATGGCACCAGCTCAAAGTCCAGTATCTGATCATCTAAATCATGTTGGCAAATCCAGATAAGGCTCTTCGAATGTATTCCCTCTGGTGCTACTCCTTGGGTGTGGGTCCTTGGGTGCAGATACTGAATTGTACAGATTGTGAATTAAAAAGACTAGCTCTCTCAAACCTCACCACCAACACACATATACACTCCCATAAATACACAACATATATTCATAAGATAGGGCTAGAATAAACAAATAGACACTTGCATTTAAAAGGGGGGCATGAATAGGAGGCACAGAGCAAGCACCCATCCACAGCAATTCCAACATTCTCTGAGCACATTTTGCCAGCCCTGCTACTTGGGAGTGATTCTCCGTGGCTCTTGACTCCGCCCTCCATGATATCCTGCCTTTTTCATTAGAAACGACCCGTGCTTGCAACTGAGAAACGTTCTTAACCTGCTTACTCCTCAAAGAAGTTTGAGGACCCAGAAGCTTCTTTCATTTTGAACTGTCTCAGTCTCTTTCAGCTCTAGCTGATACAGTTCTTTTGGAAATGTTGTGGTTTTCTGAGATACCAAATGATAAATCAGCTCTCTTAGATAAAAGCCCCTCTGTACTTTTCTGCTTCACTCATTTATTACTCTGCAACAAACTCCCCAAACTAAGTGACTTAAAATAACAATATATGTTTTATGATTCTGTGGGCTTTCTGGAAAATATTGAAAAATTGGACTACATTAAAACTATAGGCCAAGCACGGTGGCTCATGTCTGTAATCTCAGCACTTCGGGAGGCCGAGGTGGGTGGATCACCTGAGGTCGGGAGTTTTGAGACCAGCCTGTCCAACATGGTGAAACCCGCCTCTACTAAAAATACAAAACTTGGCCGGGTATGGTGGCATGCTCCTGTAATCCCAGCTACTTGGGAGGCTGAGGTGAGAGAATTTCTTGAACCCAGGAGGCAGAGGCTGTAGTGAGCCGAGATCGTGCCACCGTATTCCAGCCTGGGCTACAGAGCAAGATCCCATCTCAAAAATAAAATAAAGTAAAATAAAATAAAATAAAATAAAATAAAATAAGTTATAAAGAACGCCTGAAGAATCAGTAAGAATCAGATAATTTAATAGAAAAAAGGGGGAAAGATATGAATAGGCACTTCAGAAAACAGAATATCTAAACGGTCAGTAAATATATATTATATAAAAGAATTCTCAATTAGTCATCAGAGAAAACTCACATTGAAGCAACAATGTGATACCACTGCATACTCAAAAAGATGGCTAAAGTTAAAAAGCCAACTACAAGCAAAATTGCTGGGGGGAGTATAAACTGAAACAGTCACCAGTTTGGGAAACTGTCAGTATCTACTAAATTTGAATATAATATACCTTATGACTCAGCAATTCCACTTTTAGGTATATGTCCAACAGAAATGCATACACACATATGCACTAGAAGACTTGTGTATAAATGTTCAAAACAGCAGTATTTGTAATGCCCCCAAATGAAAATAACACTAATGTCCATCCACAATCTTAAAAAACACACCAACACGTGATGTAGAGCCATAAATCAGATACCATACAGCAATGAAAATGCATGAACTGCTGTATACAGCACGAGTAAATCTCACACATATAACATTAAGCAAAAGAAACCAGACACAGAAAGTACATACGATATAATTTCATTTATATAAAGTACTATAAAAAAAGGTAGGCTGGGCGCGGTGGCTCAAGCCTGTAATCCCAGCACTTTGGGAGGCCGAGATGGGCGGATCATGAGGTCAGGAGATCGAGACCATCCTGGCTAACACGGTGAAACCCCGTCTCTACTATACAAAAAACTAGCCGGGCGAGGTGGCGGGCGCCTGTAGTCCCAGCTACTCGGGAGGCTGAGGCAGGAGAATGGCGTGAACCCGGGAGTCAGAGCTTGCAGTGAGCTGAGATCCGGCCACTGAACTCCAGCCTGGGCGACAGAGCCAGACTCCGTCTCAAAAAAAAAAAAAAAAAAAAAAAAAAAGTAAAACTTCTTTTATAAGGGAGTGATGATGTTATGTTTTGACCAGGGTGAAAGTTATACCAGTAGTTCTTTTGGTAATAATTTACGGAACTGTGCACCTTGAATGAAAGTCCACTTTACAAAGGGGTACATGTTTTGAACTTTTAATTTAGCAGAGCATACAAAGGGGAGTAATCAGTTGTTCCTGGGAGAGGCCTGATAGCTGAGTTATGAATGAGGAGGAGAGGTGTATCATGCAACCAGGGAGGGGCAAGAAGCAATCCCAGGAAGAGGAAGCATCTTGAGCCAAAGAATGAAAGTGCGAAACAGTTTGACATAAACTGGGACTCTCCAAGCAATTTCATATGGGCTAGGAAGAAGGAGGATGAGATCAGGTGGAAGAGGGAGGAAAGCCCCACACCAAGTATTTCCAATTTTATTATGCTTTCAGAAGATATTGATAGGTTTTAAGTTTGGAAGTGTAAGTTCTGGTTGGCATTTTAAAAAATCTCTCAGGCGACCAGGTGCAGTGGCTCAAGCCTATAATCCCAGCCCTTTGGGAGGCGGAAGCAGGCGGATCACGAGGTCAGGAGATTGAGACTGTCCTGGCTAACACGGTGAAACCCCGTCTCTCCTAAAAATACAAAAAAAAAAAAAAAAAAAAAAAAAAAAAATAGCCCGGCGTGGTGGCAGGCGCCTGTGGTCCCAGCTGCTCAGGAGGCTGAGGCAGGAGAATCGCTTGAACCCGGGAGGCAAAGGCTGCAGTGAGCTGAGATCATGCCTCTGCACTCCAGCCCGGGCGACAGAGCCAGACTCCGTCTCAAAAACAGAACAAAACAAAACGAAAAAACACAAAACTCTCAGGCTGAGGCGGGGTGAATTGCAAGGGGGTGCCTGGACCTATACCCTCCCAACTTTTTTTCAGAGTTCTTCCTTCATCCAACTCCAAAGGCTGAGAGAATGAGAGGTCAGATCATGGAAAATAATGAAGCTCATGGAGGCACTCACCCTCTCTGTCCTTGATCTCATTAGCACCAGAAAATCATCAATGATCAAAACTGGAAAACAAGTACAAAATTCTTAATGAAAATTGCTCCACCGAAATGTCATAATGGTGATGGAAGGATTGTCCCAAAACTGAAATACCGGAAAAGACATGTATACTCTAAAGTATCTGTCCATGCACTCATTTGCTACAACTGGTTTTTCCTGTCCTTCATCAAGTCAAAGCTAGCTGTTCCTAGGTTTTTCTTCTTAAAAACCAGTTTTACCTGTTATGATACTTTACCTGCTATAGCTAGATTTTTAAAGACATGTTTTCTCCATACTTGCAAACTGGAAAACCTGCCTTGTTAAAGTCAGGTAACTGGGAATGTAATTAGCATATAAATAAATATTCAACCTCACTATTTAATCAGATAATTGCTCATTAAAATAAAATGTTATTTCACAGCTATCATATTGAGAAAGATTTAAAGGTCTGATAATGCAACTGTTGGAAAAGGAAACTCACACACTGCAGAAGAGATTGAAAATTGGTTTGACCATTCTGGAGTGCAATTTGTTTATATCTTTTACAGCTGAAGATGCACTTATTCATCAAGCCGAAATTCAACTTGCAGGTAGAAACCATGCAGAAAGTCTGAAACTATCTGTAATAAAAAGCCAAGTTTTCTAAAAATATTTCCAACTTGCTGAGGATCAATGTCTTTGTAAAATACAATGAAAATGAATAAATAAAATTTTGGCTGGGAACAGTGACTCATGCCTATAGTCTCAGCATGTTGGGAGGCTGAGGTGGACGGACCACTTGAGCCCAGGAGTTCGAGACCAGTCTGGGCAAGACGGCAAAGCCCCATGTCTCTAACAAGTAAAAAAAATTAGCCAGGTGTGGTGGTGTGTGCCTGTAGTCCTAGCTACTCTGGAGCTGAGGTGAGAGGATCGATCACCTGAGCCTGGGAGTTTTAAGGCTACAGTGAGCTGTGATTGCGCCACTGCACTCTGGCTTAGGTGACAGAGTGAGACTCTATCTCAAAAAAAAAAAATTTTAAAACAGACATACAAAATACAAAACTCAATATTCTGTATTATTGGATTCAATAGACACCAAAGTACTCAGTTGGATTGCTATTAAAGTTTCTAAATGAGTATTGTCAATTTCTATGCTTAATTAGTTATGAACTGGTAACGATCTTCAGGTCATGGTTTGAGAAGCTCACAGGAACAAGGAGATAGATATAAGGAAAAATGTTCATTGCAGCACCGTTTAAATATTTAAAAAAGTTTAATTCACAACCAAAGGAAAAAATAAATGTTATGGTCGTACAGTAAAACATAACACAATAATTAAAATGAACAAACTAGACCTACACATATTGACATGGATAAGTCTTGAAACCAGAACATTCAGTGAAAAAAACTGCTGATGGTCTTTATTGTATAAGTCCATTTATATAAGTTTCAAAAATACTTAACCCAATATTACATAAATATCTTATGAATATGGATAAACGTATTAAAATTAAGGAATAGAAGTAACTAACTTCAGAATAGCCATTTTCCTCTGGGAAGTGTGAGAAGAAATATAAGATTAGGAAACTTTGATTTTACCTGTGATGTCTCATTTCTATCAAAAAATTGAAGGCCAGGTGCAGTGGCTCACGCCTGCAATCCCAGCACTTTGGGAGGACGAAGTAGGCAGATCATGAGGTCAGGAGTTCGAGACCCACCTGACCAACATGGTGAAACCCCGTCTCTACTAAAAATACAAAAAATAGCTGGGTCTGGTGGTGCGTGCCTGTAATCCCAGCTACTCAGGAGGCTGAGGCAGGAGAATCGCTTGAACCCGGGAGGCGGAGGTTGCAGTGAGCCAAGATTATGCCACTGCACTCCAACCTGGGTGACAGAGCAAGACTCCATCTCAAAAAAAAAAAAAAGATATTGCATAATGTAAACATTTATTAAATCTGGGTATTGCGGTACATACATGTCATGTTATTTCCTATTTTAAAAATGTTTGAATTATTTAATAATTTTTAATTTATAAAAACAATAAAAATGGTTCAAGGAAATTTACTACATCTTTGAAATATTGAAATTGTTTAAGTGTCATGGTTTACTTGGCTAGAATACACATAGACATAGACAGATAAACTTAACCATTTACTTCTGGTTTCAAAGTTCTGACTTAAAAACTGGAATACCTCACAGACTCAGGAGGGATAATGGAAAAGCTGTCCCCAGGTAAACACAGAAAACCTGTATTCCAGTCTCAGCTCTTCATGTACTAACCCGTGTGAACACCAAAACATCTCAAATTACAGAGGAGAACTTACAGGTCACCTACTACAACGTGCTCACTCTAAAATAAACTAGCTCACCAGGCTGTGAATTGTCCAAGGCACACACTCATTGTTGGTGGAATTAAGATAGGGTTTGAATGTTTTCTCCATTAGAAAAGTCACAAGTCATTTGGAAACAAATGAACAAACAAAAATAATGGTGTTTGGTTACTGCTAGTTGTTTCTACAAGGCTTGATTTCAGACATTCAAATGCAGTAGCTCACATTGCCTCTTCAAGAGTAAGCTGAGGGATCACATGTCACATGGGAAGCAGGGGAAAGACCACTGACTTTGAAGTCAAGCAGGTCTTGCTGTGAGTTCCAGCTGTGCACTCTGTGATCTAGGGCCCAGGTTTACTTACCTGTAAGTATGGGGAAGAATAAATTCCAAATCACATACAGAGTTTGTGGCACATGTTGAACATAATGAATGGCTAAGGAATGTTACTTCTTTCACCTTTTTTAACTACTAAGACACGGAGCATAAAATGACTCTATGTCTGCCTTGAAGTGGTGATACAGACACGTAACAAATATATTAGTAACTCCCACTCTCCCCAGGCATCCAAGGTTTCACTTTCCAAGGTTTCAGTCATCCATGGTCAACTGTTGTCTGAAATTAAGTGATTATAGTACAATATCATATTTTGAAAGAGAGAAAGAGAGTGTTTACATATTTTTTTTTTTAAGACAGAGTCTCACTCTGTTACCTAGGCTGGAGTGTGGTAGCATGATCTTGGCTTACTGTAAATTCTGCTTCCCAGGTTCAAGCAATTCTCCGGCCTCTGCCTCCTGAGTAGCTGGGATTATAGGTGGCCGCCGCCATGCCTGGCTAATTTTTGTATTTTTTTAGTAGAGTTGGGGTTTTGCCATGTTGGTCAGGCTGGTCTTGAACTCCTGACCTCAGGTGATCCACCCGCCTCAGCTTCCCAAAGTGCTGGGATTACAGGTGTGAGCCACTGCACTCACACATAACTTTTATTACAGTATATTGGTATACTTGTTCTATTATTAGTTATTATTGTCAATCTCTTACTGTGCCTAATTTATAAATTACCCTTTGTCCTAGGTATGTACGTATAGGAAAAAACATAGTGTATGTAGAGTTTAGTACTGTCCTTGTTTCAGGCATCCACTGGGAGTCCCAGAAGGTATTCCCGGAAAAGAGGAAGCTACTGTAATTGCAGTAGAATGTGGTAAAGACCAACCTAGGCACATGTGGAATATTCCAAGGCAATTGAAAAAGCAGCAGGTAACTACTACACTATACTGTGTTGCCATTTAACATATCTAGGGCTCCATTTGTCCATAAAATTATTCTCTGCTTACAAAAGTGAGAGCATTTAAAAAAAAAAAAAAACAAAGAAAGTGTTTGGCTTGTAATAAGGTGTATACTAATATGAGGCATTGTTATTTTTTTCACCCATGAACCAAGTAGGGGAAAAACCAGAATAATGGGCAGAACCAAAACCAGAATAATGGCCTCTCAAAGATGCGTACATCCTAATCCCCAGAATCTGTGAATATGTCATGTTATATGTCAAGGAGGAATTCAGGTTGCTAACCAGCTGTTATTAAAATGAGATCATCCTGGATTATCTGGGTAGGCCCAATGTAATCATAAGGGTCCTTTATGTGTGGAAGAGCGAGGCAGTGTTCAGATTCAAAGATCTGAAGATGCTACACTGCTGCCTTTGAAGATGCAGGAAGGAGCCACAAGCCAAGGAATGCAGTTGTACTCTAGACTCTGGAAAGGGCAAGGAAACAGATTATCTCCTAGAGTTTCCAGAAAAAAAAGCAGACATGCAAACAGCTTCATTTTTAGCCCATGAGACTTATTTCAGGATTCTCATTTCCAGAACTATAAATACATTTGTATTGTTTTTAAACCATTAAGTTTGTGCTGATTTGTTTACAGCGACAATAGAAAATTTATTCAAACTACAATCTTGATACTTTGAAGACAGTAGCATGAGCAATTAATTAGTCCTGAAGACAGCATTGAATGTGAGTTCCATTTTTTCTTTAATGTACTTGTTATCACCCTAGAGACAGTGGGTTCAAATGGCTTCTGCATGATCAATATGGGCCTACAGTCAGCAAGATGAGGTCTTTCATTAAATTTTCTCTAGATCTATTTAGCTGTGGCATGCATAGACTGTGCTCTTCTCTATATACTAATGGCCCTGGTGCATTCCGTGACAGACACTGAGCATGCACCTTGTACAACAGTCCCAACTACTTTCCCTCAAAACATTTCTGTTAGGCCAAATACTGTGTATTAATATTTCTTTATTTCTCCTGATCCTTATTTCAGATGTCTAGTTCCACCTCATAAACTTGTAATCATCTTTCAGGATGTAGATCAAGGGTTCTCTTTTGTGGTAAATTGAATTTTTTGCTTAATTTCTCACTTCCCTCCAGCAGCATTCACACCCACACATGGCTGAATGGTAGGTATGCCCCTGGCCCTTTACTTTGGGCTTGGCCATGTTACCTGCCTTGACGAATGGAATTTTTACGGCTGTAACAAGAGCAGAGACCTGAACTGTTTTTGCACAGTTAGTCTCTCTTCCTCTGTAGTGACCCCACAACGAGCACATATTCTGGTCCATGGGGGAGGAGAGTCATATTGAACAGATCTGATCCCAATCTGCAGCTCAAAGTTGGAGCTCAGAGCCTGGCGCCCAAATCCTGAAACCAAGCACAGCCCAGCAGTTTGGTCGTTAATTTGCAGACATGAGCCTGAGGATTACTGTTTTGAGTTACTATGTCTTTGAGTGGTTTGTTGCACAGCATTATTGTGGCAATAGCTGACCGATATACCTCCCAGATAAATGCGTTTTAACTACTCTCGCCCAGTAAAGCTAACTACCTCCTCCTATGCTTTTTGTGCTCATTGTACTGTTACAGATTTATATACTGTCTTCTCCAGTGGACTTAAGTCCTATGAGAGCAGATACCAGGTGTCACTTGATTTTGTATCTATGATCTCCAGCATGATGCTGAGAATATAGTAGGCCCCTAATACCTTACAAGTGAACAAATAAATGAATACAAGGAACACACTGTCCCAGGCCTGAGACTCTTAGGTGGAGCAGGTGAGAAGGAATAGGAAATTACAGATTTCTGAGCTGCTGTGATTGTCATCAAATACAAAGGGGCCAAGCTTTGTTGGTAGACAGAATAAATAATATTTTAAAACACATATGATTTGTTTTTCAGGTATTTATAAAGGCTATTGTTGTTAATGAAGCGAAATAATTTATCTCAAAGTAATAAATTAATTGCCTATTATCATCATGTATTTCCTCAAATGATGGATGTAAAAAGAACAAC